CTTCTCTGTGGGTGCCCCTGCCCTCTGGAACGAACTACCCCCTGAGATTCGGACGATTCCGGATCTCCTTACCTTCCGTCGCGCCCTCAAGACATGGCTTTTCCAGCAAGCGGACCTGGCCTAGGGAGGATTTTATATTGGGTTCATTTTAAGGAATTTGTAAACAACACAACTCTAAAATTTGGTTTAATTCGGTTTTGTAGGGGGGGATTGTATATACACCTTTGTTTTAAATATATGTTGTGAGCCGCCCTGAGTCCCGTCCGGGAGAAGGGCGGGATATAAATTAAAATAAATAAATAAAATAAATAAAATAAATATATATATATATATATATATATATATATTTATTTATTTATTTATTTATTTATTTATTTATTTATGGTGCCTTCAGGGTAGACCATATGCTGGAAATGTATAAATAATTTAAAATCAGTCATATCAGTGCTGCCCTCACATTATTTGCAGTGCTACAGCTGGGTGGTCAGTATTAGTCTTTTGTTGCAGCCATAAATTTAATTCTTTATTATCATGTTCTTTTTCAAGGACATGTTGAAATAATTTGTTTTCTTCTCCCACTTTGTTTTAAACAGGTGGACAATATTTATCTATTTCTCAACCGAAAGGGAAGGCAGGTCGATTTGCCCGCTTGGTTCTCCCACTTGGCCATTTAGCTCGCTCCGAAGATCTGTGCTTATCCTTTAGGCATAAAGTATCTGGGTTACACTCCGGTTTGCTTCAGGTCTTTCTAAGAAAGACTGGTATTCATGGGCCAGCAATTTGGGGAAGGAACAGAGGCCATGATTGGAGTCAAACGCATATAACATTGAAAGGACCTGGCATCAAAAGTGTGAGTACAAATCTGGGATCTAAGGGGAAAAAAATAAACAGAAAGAAAGAGAGAGCACAATATTATTTATATTTAGTATATTCAATAGAGTTACATTTCCTTCTATTAATCTCTATGTGTGTTACAATTTCTTCAATGAGTGTCTTGATTGCTTAATGTTAATTATCAAAATAGAATCTGCAGAGCACCTTTTTCTATGATGACCACCATAAAAATTAAATCATCTAACAACTTAACCATTATGGTTCATAGCTTGGTGTTATGTATCACTAAAGTCATTGTTACTTATTAAGCAAGCAATAGCTTAACGTGATACATGAACCCAATCACTCTCATATGTCTTTATTTTTTTTCTCCCTTCAGGTTATTTTTAAAGGAGAAAAAGGAAAAGGAAGAACTGGGGAAATTGGGCTGGATGATATAAGTTTGAGAAAAGGCCGATGTTCTCGGGTCCATTAGTAGTACAGATGGCCGAAGAGAACAGACTTTCGTTGTCCATAACTATTATTTGAGACATGTGGATGATTGATAACTTCTCCTTTGTCTTTGTGAAATCACAGTGGATCTCCAGATAAATAATTCAAATTTTCTGTAATAGTAAAAAAAGTTTAAACAGATGTTGAAGAGGCCATTAACATTGTCTGTGCTTTAAGAGGTTCTGAATGGAGGATAAATACATGTCCTTTATGAAGAAAAGACTGCCTAAACGTCATCAAAAAGAGTCAACAATTGAATTCATGTCTTCTTTGTGTTTTCCGTTGGCTGATTATGGCTCATTTTGTGTCACAAGCTAAAGATGCAGCTGTTATTGTACTGCATCAGTTTTTAAAGAAGAGTGTTTTGTGTGTCTCTGTGTGTATAATAACATTTATCCCATTATCTTATTACAAAAGACAGTTAAAGAGTAGCACTGCAACCTTTAATGTGGGTAGTGCTGTGTTCTGTATAAATATGTATTATGATTATTAATGTATTTATATATGTTGTATATTTGCAAACTCTAGTTATAAGATGAAATAGTATTTGCGCATGTTACAGTTAAACCAGCAAAACAGGCTGGTCGTCCAATATATAGGATCCAGCAATTGTCCTGCCTTTCAAAACTAAAATAGTAGAATATTTTGCATAATTGCAAAAAACTGTATAATGTAAGTATTACCAGATTCAGGAGAATTAGACTCAGCAGTCCTTTTCTGAAAAGAAAAACATTCATGAATGATATCAGTAGCACAACTTGGCCTTGATGGATTTTTTTTTTAATATAGTCAAGGAAAGTTTGGCAGATAGAAATTTTTCCTCTCTTATTCTGACACTATTAAGAAACAAAATAGATTTCGGGGGTTCATAAGCAAAGAAATGCAGAATGACTTTCCTGAACATAGCAGGAGGGTTGCAAAATGGGCCAATTTCAGATTTATCAAAAGTCCGTTTTGCACAGTATAGCATAGAGGGGAAAAAATCCAATACAACAAAAATGCAATAGAATACAGTAAAATGCAATTGAAAATCCAAAGAGAATTTTGGATGGCTTAGAATTTGGACCTTTTAATTCTTATTTGCAAAAAATGGAAAATGGAAAAGGTTTCCCCTTGCATCTAGATGTTAATCTCCCCAAAAAACTATCCAAGTGGTGGGGACTGCCACAGAAAATCCTCTTTTTCATTGCGTCAAAATGAATAGATCTTCAACTGATAGAAACAGAACAGGTGGCCAATATATCACATTTTATAAGTCCAAAATAATTTAGCTTAATTTCAACTTACTCCATATCTGAAATTACTTCTTACTAACATGTGATTTCTTCCTGTATTTCTCACTATATGCCAGAGATCAATAATATGCCACCCTAAAAGCTATTCATCCATCCTCTCACCCATTTAATTACATGTATTTATTTCTAAAACTTATTAAAGTCTCATTAGTTCACAGGGGCATTCTTGGATAAGATTGCAGGATATTTAAGAGTTAAAGTCATTGAAATTTTGCAGTTATTAAAAATTTGCAACATTCAGACTAAATCAGTTATAGATATATTTTTTGACAGAAATAATATTTATTAAGGCATAGTACTTTGTAAAGAAGCACTGTAAAAGTAAATTGATGGCCTTTAATACATTCCATTACAGCCATTGAAACAGAAATATCTTAGACCAGAGTGTCAAACTTGCAACATCATGTGATGTGTTGCGACATATTGCAACTTTTTTTCCATTGCCAGCAATGGGGTGGGCGCGGTTTTGCTATGATGCATCCAGCTCTGTCTTAGACCTACTTCAGCTATTGGCAAGAATTTTTTTCTTCTAATCATATAGCTTTCTAAAATATGGCATATAGAATGTCAATATGGCAATTACATTTCTCTGATCAAAATGATGGTATTTTAAATAAGAATAACTAATATTCTCAATGTATTTTTTCAGTTGGACAAATAATATGTATTTTAAGACTTTAAAAAAAGTAAAAGCTGTTAGTTTCAATATTATCATATTACAAGATTATCAAACATAAACCTCTAAAAATGATAAATGAACCCCTCTACAAATACCACTAATGATTTCCTTTGGAGTTAGAGTTGTAATAATAATAGTAATATACTATTTGTAATCAACTTTAGTTTATGAAGACATGGTGGTCTAGAGGTGGAGCTCTCGCCTCACAATCAGGAGACCGTGAGTTCAATCTACCTAGTGGCAGATATTTCTCTCTCTGGGTGCAATGAGCTATTGTTTGCTGCGAACTCTGCATAGGCATCAGGAAGGGCATCTGGTCAGTAAATGTTCAAGCTCCATTTAGTAGCCCTGACTCTACCCCGATGCAAGGGATTACAGGGTCATTAAAAGAAAAAAAATCATTTTAAATGTATATATCAAATAAAACAATAACAAAAGCTACATGTTTATAAACTGAAACAGATTTTTAAAGTGTTTTCACATTCACAGTTCTATAGAAGCTCCAGAGATCACAGATTTATTGCTACACACTACAATGCAGAAAAGATGACATGCAAATCTGAATTAAACTAGCGGTAGTCAATGTCAGTGGATTTGCATATCTGATAATCAGCCATCATGCTGCAAAAATAAGTGTTTTGTCATCTTTAACAGAGTTGAAAACTGCAGTCCACAAAATTCATTATGGTGAATTAAGAATATGTTACAAAAACTTAATATTTCCCTTCTCTTAGAAATGCTTTTATAGATTCTGACCAAATACTTCTATGTTATTCCTGAATTATGCTGACAGTATTAAATAATACATTCTTTAAATTATGCCTTGATCATGCTATATGAAAACTATATGCATTTTTATATTTTCTAAAGCTATGCGTACAAATTATTTAATTAAATAAGAATGTATACTTTTTTGATTACTATCTTCCCTAACTTTCCAATGGATCTAGTCAATTCCACTTAATGGGCTTCTATTGGAGTGAATAAGATATAGGCTCAACTAGGAATGTCATGTTTGTGTTATAATATGTAGGCAATTCAAGACAAAGGTGTTATGATTCAGCTCTGATACACCTCATCATCTACATTAGGCTCCTCTTTCAATAGGCACACTGTTAACTGTTTTCTAGATGGAACAAATCCCCAATAAAGATATGGGTTGCTGCTTCTAATAGCAATGAACTGAAAGAGATTTGAATAATGGCTTTTGAAAAAGTAAAATGTAACTCACAGAGGCATGAATTGCTTCCATATTTGGTTGTCCTGCTTCTAGAATAATAGCAAAAAAGAAACTCCTAAATCTCTAGTGAGTCACATGAGCACCATGTACAAAGATAACTCATGGGCTTCATATTTGGACAAATGCCTTCCCTTTGAATGCATATATTTGGTTCAGTGTCTGTTGAGTTGTCAAAAGATTTTCTGTTGAAAATTATTTTTGGAACCTTCTTGTGACAGGTTAATGCATCATAAAATTATTTGTCATGCTTGGATTTCATAAAAGCAGCAATCATGAATTTTCATGTAAGCTACTCTAAGTTGTAGGTATATTTCTGGAGGTATACAAGTAGAAAATATCATATATATTTTAAGGAACACAGTGTTGTGTCACACAATATTTATGATAATTTATACAGACCTACCTGACTCACCATATATGTGGTCTGGTGAGTCAGAAAGAGTATGTTACTTGCAGCAGATAGGTTTTCAAATCATCATTAATGAAGGTGAGAAAATGCTCCAAACCAACAAATTGATTCAGATGCACATCTGAATCTTTCATCTATATTTAATTGGCATACATTCTTTTCTGAGAAATGTTAGTATTTTAAACATGCCTAAAGTCCATTATTAATGGCACCTACAGTAGGTGCATCTGTATAATAATTTATCTTTTCTTCTTTTGATTACTGTCTTGATAATTGTCAAAATAGTTTTCTGATACAACCTATTAAAATGATATGGTATCCTTGTTTAGTCTAATTATGTTTTAATCAGTTTTAGACCCAGTTATTCAGATATGCATGACACATTCATAAGCCATGAACTAACACAGAAACTTTATACAAAACAATATACTAAGAATTTCTCACTATATGCAAACACAATCTATAAGCATGGATAGGTATTAAGTACTTCTGGTAAATCTGGATTATATATGAGTATTAAAAATGGATTCAGTTCAAAGAATACATACACCCATGTGCATAACCACACAACCTATCTTGCCTTTGGGTTATGCAATACATTGACATCAATATCCTGATGTTCTTATTTCTTTCATTGATGGGAATAAGGTTTTAACAGAACATAATTTCACTTGTTTTATACATTGGGGCTTTTTTGGATGAAGGTTACAACCAAAAGATACCATAAAATCAACAGCATTTCTTAAATTGTACTTGATTAAGCTTTGTCTTGCAGTAATGGGAGGTTAGTTCTTCAACTGCTCAACCAGTTTTTAAACCTTTTGAATTAAAATCCATATGTTTCTATCACAGACTATTTTCTTCTTCCTCAAGTATTGTTTGAGAAGGTACTGTAAGGGCTGCAGGGCCGTTTGCTTAATGTTGCTTTGACCTTTGCTCAAGATGATGAACATGATGTGGTTCTTGTTATTGTGCTTTGGAATGAAGATGACGTAGATGAAGAATGATGGAAAGTGGATTGAATTGAGAATGCACTACTTTTGTCTTTTTAAAGGTTAGTGGATCTGTTTTTAGAATGATATTTTATATCCAAAATGGCAGAACAAACTTTTAGTCGTTCCGATACAGAGAGGACTTGGAAGAGGCAAAGAAAAAGGTTTCATGGTTATTTTGGGTTATTTGGATATAGAAGAAATACTGCTGTGCACTCATGAATATTCTCTCTTTCCTTCTACCTCTCTCTCCCTCTCTCTCGGAAGGAAATAAGAAAAAAGAAAAGGAAAGAGAAAGGCCTGCTATAGAGGACATATAAATTTGAAGAAATAAACTCCATTTACAGCAACATAATATAAAAAAATAAAATTAAGATAAAATTACTAAAACCAAAAAAGTTTTACTTTTCATAGTTTTGGATTGGTTTGTAAACTTGCCCTGCTGATACAAAAGGGCAAGCAATTTAAATGAAGCAACAACTCTGGAAACATTAATTCTAATAGACATACATTGGCTGCAATGGTTTTCTAAAAATTGCTAACGAGGCTATTTCCTCAGGCATATATTTCCCAACTGTATATTTTAAGATTTAAGCTTAAGAATCATGATCTGAATAGGCTTCAGCATGCTGAATGCTATGTTGGGCTTCAGTTGACATTTATAAAGGGCTTATATTTCTTAAGTGTTCTTTTTGCCATAATCTCAAACAAATAGTCATTGCTGTAACACACGTTCTTTCAGTCAAAACTCTTAAAAATATGTGGGGTTCTAGGCAAACATGCTTTTTCATTCATTTCAATATCCCCAAATCAGGCTGAGATTAATTGAAAGAAATAAGGAAGATTAGACTGTTTTTCCAGACTGCTAAATAAGCAGGTTTTTATTGTTATGAGTGAACTTTTATGAATTGTGTGGAGCCAAATTTTGGATCATTTTGCTTTACATCCAAAATTCTGACACTTGGTTACAGTTTTGCATGATAGCAACGCAGGACCATACAGAAGTGTAATCATATTGTGATATTCTGACAGGGAGATAAATGTAGTAAGAAGCAGAAATGTCACAGATTTTATACATGGCAAAAATGAATATATCGCAGCTGCAGCGCAA